GAGGCGATAGAGCCGGCCCCCCCAGCCGATATGAAGACGGGGTTTTACAGCTCCTACTTCATTGTACCCAAGAAAGGCGGTGGGTTACGACCAATCTTCACGGGCCCTTCACCAGTTACCGTTCAAGATGTTGACGCAGGAACGCATCTTCGGGTGCATCTGTCCCCGAGATTGGTTTGCAGCGGTCGACCTGAAGGACGCGTACTTCATGTGTCAACCTTTCTGCACCACAGACCATTGCTGTGGTTCGCGTCCGAAGGACGAGCATATCAGTATGAGGTCCTGCCCTCTGGGCTGTCCCTGTTGCCCAGTGTCTTCACGTAAGTTGCGGCGGTACCCTTTGTTCCCTTGAGAGAACAGAGCATTTGCATTCTCAACTACCTCGAACAACGGGCTTGCAGTCTCAGGGGTTTTGACGGGGCCCCAACTGCACTGGCTGCCTCGAGTTGCTGGCAGTGCACCTTGCCCAGGGCCGTCTCAAAGGGCGCTTACGAGGCAAGCATGCACTAGTCCGCACGGACAACACAGCGACCGTTGCGTACATCAACCGACAAGGTGGTCTGCGCTCCCGTCGTTTTTTGCAACTCGCCCGACACCGAGTCAGAAGCATCTGAGGTCGCTTCGTGTTGTCCACATTCCTGGGCTGCTCAACCGGGCACCCGGTTCTTCACCCTGACCGAGGGAACACTCGCACACAGCTGGCCGTGGGGCCTTCGCAAGTATGCATTTCCCTCAGTGAGCCTTCTGGCACAGTTGCTGTGCAAGGTCAGGGAGGATGAGGAGCAGGTCCTGCTAGTGGCACCCTATTGGCCTTCCCGGACCTGGTTCCCGGAACTAATGCTCCTCTTATGTCGCTGCAATTGCTGCTAACCATGACCCCGTGCAAGGGAGGTCACTGGGGAAGCATGACCTGGTCGTCAGGTTCCTTAAGGGGGCGAGAAGGTTAAATCCTCCACGGCCGCCCTCTATACCCTCTTGGGACCTGACTCTAGTGCTCACAGCACTACAGCAGGGCCCATTTGAATTGAGACAAATCGGAAAGATTATTTACAACACAGTCTTTTGTTGTAGAAGTGATGGTTCTACCATATTTGTAACAAGGAGTTGAACTTTCAGCTTTCAGACTAGATAATGATCCGAGATATCATCACGCTGCTGCAGAATTTCAATGCCATCAACATCAATTCCATGTGACAGTGTCCATGTGTCCAATGGATCAAATATCCATTAAGCCAAGCTTTATCATCTGTATTATATCAGTTTTATATATATATATATATATATATATAATTGTTGAACATCAATTAAATTTTTACCCTTCAATTTGTTTGGGCGTTTTTTGTATTTGCTAGTTGGTGGAACAGACACAGTCTCTATAGTATGATATCTAGGTGAAAGGGTCTCTATGTGCTGAGAAATTAACTGACTTCTGTGACATGAGGTGGCTAGCGGACAGTCAGTTTAGTCAGTCTGTCTGCTTCCTGACCTGGGCCCCAGTTAGTCAAGTACAGACTCTAAGGCTATGTGCCATATTTCTAGAGAGAAGAGCAGCATCACCCCAGGAGGGATGAAGACCATCTCTTTTCAACAGGTCAGGTCTGCCCCAAAAACTCGTCCAATTGTCTATGAAACCTTTGTTATTCTGCGGGCACCACTTAGACATCCAGCCATTGAGTGACAACTGTCTGCTATGTATCTCGTCACCACAGTAAGCAGGGAAGGGACCAGAGCATATTACAGTGTCTGACATCGTACTTGCAACCTCTAATCGGTTGATTAGACCTCTTTAATATTATTTTTAGTGATCTCCGACTGGCGAAGTTGGACATCATTAGTGCCGACGTCAATAACAATCTTACTGAATTTACGTTTAACATTAGCCAGCACTTTTAAATTTGCCAAGATGACAGGCGCTCTGACTCCTGGTAAACATTGCATTATGGTGGCTGATGTCTCTATTTTCACGTTCTGTACAATAGAATCGCCAATAACTAGAGAACTTTGATCAGGTTTCTCAGTGGGTGCGTCACTGAGTGGGGACAACCTGTTTAATGTTTTGATCGAAATGGAAGAGCGGTGTTTTATTCCGCGACTATGCCGCCTCACAGTCACCCAGTCGCACTACTGTGGGCAAAAAAACAAATAAAATGGTGCTAAAATTATCTTCACTTTCTTTACACAAGTTTTTTTCATTTGAATTTGGGGTGAAATGTGTCCTAGGCATGGTTTTGTGAGATTCACTACTCTGCGCTTAGGTATACATTAGAAAGTATACGAACAGACAGCTCAGATAATATTTGTTAATTATGTGGCCCTTTGTGCTCTGAATTCTGTTCAAACCAAGCAATTTGAAAAAATTCAACATATTAGCATGGATAAGTATTTTCCCCTCACTAGTTTAAATGCCTATACAAATCTGCTCCTTTTAATGTTTTTCAGATGAGGGTCCAAGTGTATTTGAAAGCCCCAACACTATAATAAATGTTCTATGTATTCAAAATGTTTTTGATGGTTGCATTTTGTTTTTGTCCACTTGTCTGCAGAGTATTTGGTGCTTTTAAGAACACAGACAACAGAGAGACTGTCTATGCCTGGTTCACCTTCTCACACTGGCTTATATACGCCAACAGTGCCGCCAATCCAATTATCTACAATTTCCTCAGTGGTGAGTATTTGACACCTTTCCGCTACATCAGAGGTTTCTGGTTTTGGAGACCCACGGCAATGAATATTTTAATTGTCTTTCTTTTTTACACACCAGACTGAAATCATCATCATGTTAGCGGCGAGCTGTGTGAATTGATCTGGCCGTGTCAGATAAAACAGACATGTAGATGACCAGCATTGAGCACAACTGTGCTACATGTCATTTCCTCCATCTGCTGGTCACACTAAGGCATCGCACCTTTCATTCCCTACACTGCCTGCAAACACACAGAAAACTTCAAAGCTTTGAAATGCCATTTGCCCTCCAGAAACATCCTGCACCTTTTCATTCCAAACGAGCAAGCTAATTATCTCTTCATTAGCATTGCAATATTCTCTTTGTGCACCATGGTACAGGTTTGATGATACTGATTACATCATTACCTGGTCAAGGGCGCTTTAGACATCATTTAGAGCAGCATGGATGATTTAGTGCACCCACTGAAGATGAATTAATAGATTTAATCCCACCAGTCACACGGGAGAGCTTTGAAAGATTTGTTGATTTTTTATTAATTTTTTTATTTTGATTATTATTATCAGAATTTTTTGTCGTACTGCACCAGTGACAGGCTGTTGGACTGTTAGAGGAACAGTTTTTGTCATTTTTCTTCTGAGAGTTTAGAAAAAACTGTCATTTTAAAATGGGTGATGTATTCACATTTCCAGGTTGCTCTTTCTGAAAGATGATGTTTGAAGTATAAAGACTGCCCATTATCGGTCCGTTATTTGTTCTGGCTTATATAAGCATGCCCATGGGCCATGTAAACCTGTCAGTGCTCACAGTTGTGAATGTAAATAAAAGAATGTTAAATTATTAACAGTCGTTTACACTGAAGCAAGTGTATGTGCTCTTACTGATGTTCATTTGGGAATGATGGATGAGCCGGTGTAATCCACAGCATGTGCTCACTTATCTGTGGAAAATGTGGATTTCAATGGATTATTAAAATGCTTAAGGTTAATTTGATGCTTTAAATCAAATCCTGAATATTTTTCCTTGCAGGTAAATTTCGAGAGGAGTTCAAAGCAGCGTTCATCTGTCATTGCTCCGGTAGAGATGTGACACACAAGGAGAGAGTCAGAGCGAGAACCAGCACAGATAGCCGCAAATCTCTGTCTACCCAAGTAAACAATTTTGACAACATCTCCAGGATATCTGACCAGGCTGTGTAGCTCCATCATGAGAAGGGTTTGCTGGGTTAATCCTACTGGGTGCCACCAGTCACCACCGCCGATTAGAATAACACAGACGCGCTGTATGTTTTGACCTGCGAGACTAACGGATGGAAGGATTGAATAGACCTATTAGCCCCAGAGAATTACCCTCACGTTTTGAAAATGACATTGTGTCTCGCGTAAGAGCACATGAACCTTCAGTGGAATTGAAATTTTTACCCTCTGAAGCAAGGGTTATTTTCTGCTCACCGCAACAGGTGATGTACCCCACAATCCGCAGAGATGATGTGCATGAAAATAATGGCATGTCTCTGAATCACATCTTTGATGTGAGACTGCATTCCTCAACTCAAGATTGAAAGCCATTGACGATAGAAGAGAAGCACAAAAAAAGAAACAATTTTTAAAGGTGACGTGTGTAATTTTTCCAGTGTTAAAATACTTTCTCCTATCAAATCTTATGTAGAGACAACTATAAGTAATTTGTGAGTTATCTGAAAAGTCTAAAGACTGCAGCACCGCTGCTCTGTATGTTTGAGCATCCTATAACCAGCTGAACACAGTGATACTGGCTCATCAGTCATGTGAATGGATGGTACTATTTGTTTGAATGGCCAGTGGCAGATGTATTCAGGGAGCCTGTTTGAAATCAAACAGTATTTTTGGAATTCATCCCCTAGCAGTGCAGAGATAACACAGAGAACAGGTCACACTTTACACAATGCATGCATAAACTGCTTCAAGTACAAAATTGATATTATATATATATATATATATATTTTTTTTTTTTTTTTTTTCTCATTGTGTTGTGTGGTGTTTGCATTTATTTCTAAAGGAGTTGTTTTGACGTTTTGCACGGTCCAGCAGTAATTATTTGCTCTGAGTGTTTGCTTGGGAGCACTGGCTGTCATGACTATTATTAGTCAAATGATTACAGAGTCATAAAACAGAACAATGGCACAATAAGCATCTTTGTTCAAGTGTGGTACAAGCACAAACAGGTGAACAGCAGGGCATAGAACTACTTATGATGTTGTTATCTCTCAGGTGCTTGCTTTGAGGTCTTGTTTATTTATTAAAAATGTGTACTTGCTGCTACTTATGACATTTATACATAAATACACTGAATGTGTTTGAAATTATGTTTGTATATATGGATTCCAATTTTCCTTTAAAAAAATACACTACGAAGCCACTCGTCATTTATGTCAATTGCTTTAGTTAGCAAATATGTAAATGATTTTCATACATGCTTACTTTTAAACCATGTTTACACAGAAAAAAAGTGAATTACTTTTGTCTATGTAGGTGCAATCGAAATATAAATAAACAAAAGCAACACAAGTTATTGCTTTTTGCTAATTGTTTTGCCAGCACTAAACTAGCACTAACATGCATAAAGTATTCTGAACCAGCATAGATGCTCTGAGCTGGTCTTTTCAGGGTTTTCATGCATTTTCTCATGCCATTATTGCAAATAATTCAGTGATATCTACTTTGTAACTCAGTTGTAAGGCACAGTTTGATTACACATAAAGTTAGGTGTCAGGACTTTTGACCTACTATGCTTGTCTGAGGCTGACACTAAGGTTAGTGATAAATGTTTAGTTTTAACTATACAGTAATAGTTAAAGATTTATTTTATATATTATAAAACATTTCAACATTTCTTTAAGACACAGTTACAGATGGCTAGGATATGAACTGACTGGAGAACTGGCCCCGATTACATGGTGTGACAGTGAGCCGTGCAGGTGAGTGACATTCAACACAGAGAGCGATGCACCTGAGGGATTATTCATTAGCACCGTGACGTCACGCTGGGGTGAATAGAGCACGGTGAAGCGGAGCTGTTCACTCGCACAGGTGCTTAACACCGATACTCCACCATCATGAAGGCCATGAAAGCAGCATTTCTCATGGGTGAGTAGAGGATCTATTTTAAGGATTAGTGAGCTTTTAGCAGTTCAGTGCTTCATTGATCTTGGAAGTTATTCCAGATGGAGTTATTGAAATTGATTTCTCGTGTGTGTGTGTGTGTGTGTGTGTGTGTGTGTGTGTATGCCTGAACATTTGCCAGCCGTTTCTATATTGCTCTTGGAGTGAAACAGGGTCTAACATAAAGTGGAATCAAATTGATCTGTTCTTACTTAAGTGTAAGTGCGATAACAAGTGCAATACAATTTACTTTTGAAAATAAAAAATAAAGTGTAATATAAATAAAGGGGGGGGGGGGCTATTATGTAAAATTTGTGACACTGACTTCAATTCCTTTGTACAAATGACAGATTATCTTTCTTCCATCAAAGCTAAAGATGCTCTTTAAAACATTCTCATAATCGTAATGGATAATATGGATCACGAGGTTTTCTCCTACCTGCTCAAGTGTTGCTTTAATTAAAGCAAAAATGGGAAACATTGCATATATTCTTGTCAGGTTTTCACTCAGTTTGTTATGCTAATGGAAAAAAAAATAGGAAAGAATATTTTCAAAGAAAACATTTTTACAAAACTTTTGGAGCCTAATGGCTTTGAAAAGCGTGAGACTGTAGTAAATATTGTGTGCGTCCACGCTGAACAGGTAGATTGCCATTTCTCACTGCATTAAGCTGATCTCAGGACGAGCCAATTATGAATGTTATTTTCCATTCCAGTGTCTCATTTGCTGTACCAGCTAGTTTGCATTGACACATCGAGAACTACAGACTGCATTTCGCACATGGATGCTTGTGTTTCTCCACACGTCTGCAGAAGCAAACAGGCTGTTCTCAGAAATATCTGTCATTTTAAAGGTACAGAATTCTTATTTAAACTTACAACCAGTTGTTTTCTGTTTAATGGGATAGGACCAGGGGTTGGCTGGTCGCACTGGGTAAACTGCTCTCACAAAAAAAATGTACAAATTGAATGTTTGCCCTCTTGATCCATATGAGCTGATTCTGTCAAGGCATTAAAAATTTAAACCTTTCAAGGTGAGGGCAACTTTTCAATTTGTCACAAAAGAGTGTGAGTGGGGGCGGTCGGCACACTGATTTCAAGGTTTTGGGTGACACGTGGAGTGTAATATAAGAATAATGAATCATTTATAGCAAATGATTTCTATATACACAGACAAACGTACATAAAACAGCCCCACTATACATGATTTTTCCCACTTTAAATCCACCATGCTGCCATTTCAACTGAGCTGGGTTATCTTAATTTTGACAAAGATATTCAACAAAGAAAATGCTGTCAGCAATACCTGTCTCTTCTACCTTGTGAAATGTCTCATCAATGTGTTGGCAGTAATTGGATTTAAGCGCAATAGTCATGTTGAATAAGGCATTAATATGTGCTTTATAAGTACTAATAAATGGCTGATATTCTAGTAATATGCATGCTAATAAACAACTAGTTAAGAGACCCTACAATAAAGTGTTACCAAAAGATGATCAGTAAATAAGAACTTATTTACAGGTTTGCAATGACGTGAGGCAGAGTAAATGCCAACAGAATTCTCAGTAAACTATTCCCATATTGTTTCCCAGCTAAAAAAAAAAACAGCAACCTGAGGCAGAATGGCAAGCCAGAGATCACAAAGGACATGGTCAGTGGTGGCTTGTCAGGGAAGGCAAGGGAGGCACATCCTACACAAAATTTTGACGTGGAAAAAATGGAAGAAGTAGCTTACAATTTAATGTTAATAAAATCTCAAGTTATTAACTTAATGTCTTCAGAATGTGTATTTCTTTATTGTAACTTCATCGTTGCCAACCATAACATATTACTAAAGTCTGAATCCCCTGTGTTTTACCGCTGTTATTCCCCGTGAATGTGGATAGAGAATTGGTTTATCAACCAATCACCGTGGCGACGTCAATTACGTTGTAAGATTTGATCACCAACACATTTACAAATCTCCATTTCGAGCAGCAGCTAAAAACTAAAAATTAAGGTCAAACGTGCTGTTTTAGAACAGAATTATTTACCAATACCGAGTGGCTAATGGATTTTTCTTCAAGTAATAGGTGATTGAAATTTTACATTTATTGTCTTGTTTTATAAGTAGGCTTTAATGTAATTTCCGTACATAAACATGACCAAAAGAACGCTTTTATTAAGCAGTTAAGCATAAATAAATGAATAATAATAAAAAGCTACAATTAAGTGTGCCTCCTCTATTTTAACGTCCACAAGCCGCCACTGGACATGGTAAGTCCTTAGTCTGTTTGAGCACCTTTTATAAACTCATAATTGCATGCATGCTGTGATTCCCTCATTATACACTCTCATACCCTCAATCCAGTACATCACACCAACCGATCCTGTCTTGAAGAGATAGTAGCTTGTCTTGGGGAGAAAGCCTGCAACAGCTGGATGGTGCCATTTGTCCAGGAGTGCAACGCTTACCAATGCAACCCCAGCCAGTGCAGAGAGGGACTTAGGCAGTTCTACTCGGCTCTTCCTCACAATGTGGCTGAGAAACTGGTGTTCTGTGACTGTGACAGGGAAGACCAGGAATGCCAGCAGATGAAGGCCTCTCTACATTCTGGATCCTGTGTGAGTGACCAGTCGCATACACCCTGGACCTGCCTGGAGGCTCTGGACAGCTGCTCTGAAGATATATTGTGCAGGTTAGCCCTGAACATTGATGGCATAGCATTGACAAAACTATTTGCAGTAGGATATGTTTATAGAACATCATTTCTATCAACCAGTTAAAGCCCAGGTCATTTTTTTGCGAGGCTGCATTTGTGCTTAACTGGTTTGGGGGGGAAAATCACATTCTTCCTCTTAGGAAGTTTCCTTTGGCACTATCAACTTTGGCTTTTACTACTGCTTTGGAACAGCATCTATTGTGGTAAGCGCTTAAAGTAGTCAACTGGTCAGTTGTACGAACTAGTCAATGAATGAATGAGAAGGTACAAGTTCACACAAATCCACCACAAATTAGCTAAATTGTGAAATACTCAAAGGTTGAGTGTGTGTTGGTATAGATGTGCTGTTCCCCAGATGATGAAGCTGGTTGACCATAGGGTCTTACTCTTTCCAGTTGACTGGAGAAGTTTTAGGTAACTAGTTATGTGGCATTGTGGGAACACTGGCACCAAAAATTTATACAGACTGCTGCTGATAAAACAACAACTCTTTACTGTTCACAGGCAGACATTTAGCAGGTACCTGTCCAAATGTTTTGGGGAAAAGGAATCTGCGTATGATACGACCAGTGAATGGCTAAGTCGTCTGGACCCCGACTTCTTTCTTGGGCACGACCTCCAATGCAGGGTGGCATTTGTGGAAACAATGGGTTCAATACTTCATCATCCATGCACTTGTGATGGATTACTTGTCTTCTTCAGCCCATCTGATATTCATCATAGTGCATCAGTCTCTCTCGTCTCCACTCCTACTGACACTCAACACCTCAATCCAGATGTTTTTAAGTCTAATGATCTGTTTCCTGAACCCCAGTGTCAGGACCACACTAAATCATCATTAGGAACTTTACCACAGACATTGATGAGACATTTCAGCAAAGTAGTTGTCTTACCACTCGTGGTTAAACTTTTATCACACAGAATTTAGCAGTGTTGAAAACGAACGTTGCATGTTTACACCACTCAAAATGTTATATTTTTCACAAATTGAAGATTGCAAATTATTATTTTATTACAACAAAACACTGTACATATTTCATTAGGATGTGCTTAGGTAGCCTAACATGTTTATTTTATGCCTGTGTATACAATGCATTATAATACACATTCTAATGAATTCTATTTTTCATAAATGTATAATACATCCTAATAGGTAATCTTACAGTATCTATTCATGGTTACACCTTTTAAGAGATGAATGTGGTATAACATATAATACAACAAGAAAATCACGTCATATATATTCATACAAAAGGATTGGGGCACACCTCTTAATTACTGAATTCAGGGGCCTTATTTATAAATTGCACGTACACACTTATTAGATCATAAAGTGTGCAAAATCAATGACAGTGTTCAAATTAATTATAGCAGTTTTTCATGTGAAAAAGTGCTGAGCACTACAAAGGGCCATACAGCACACACATTCATAAATATTTGCTTTCAGTTACATAGGCTATTTTTGTCACGATACGCTGCCGGAAGGAACGAAGGGGCCATGGATAAATGAAACTGTCATTTATTGAATCCAACACACAGGGTAAATCCACACTTGGAAGGAAAGGAAGACACACGTACACAACTGGTAGACCCGACAAAGGAGGAATGCACAGAAAGGAACTTAAATACATGACTAACGAGGCAATTGGGAGGAACACAGATGACCAGAATGACTATTTAAGAGACAACAAGGACAGGAACGGTGAGAACTGGGAGGAGGCTCAGGAGGAGGACAGACACCCGAGAGGGGACCGGCAGACAGAGTCCAGGGAGGTGACGATGGAGGGAAGAGCCAAGGAGGAAACAGGAGGAGCCAGGGCGGATCAGACGGAGGAAGGATCAGCCAGGAAGATGACAGGAGGGACTTGGAGCATGCGGCGCCAGGTGGGACCCAGGCCACAGCCATAATGGCGACCCACGGTGGAGCCGATGGAGGGAGGAGCAATGGAGGAGGAAGGGCTGACAACTCCAGGGGGCCAACCGACTGCGGCAGAGCAGGTAGTGGAGGAGCCAGAGGCGGGGACGGAGAGCCAATGAGCCAGGGCAACGGGGAGGATACGGAGGACCAAGGCGGAGCAGATGGCTCCGGCGACCAAGGCGGAGGCGGGGATCCAGAAGGCCGCTGTGGACCGGAGCGACAGAGGACTGAGGAGGAGCCGAAGGGATGGAGGAGCCTGACAGAGCCGGATGGATGAGACACAGTAAGAGGAGGGGAGTCCCGAGGCGACAGATGATCGACGACAGAACAAGCGGAGCTGGAACAACGAGGGAGCCCGGTGGAGCCAGTGGACTGATGGGCCATTAGAAGAGGAGGGAGCTAGGAGCCATGGTGGAGCCGCTGAGTCGACGGGCCGAGGCGGAGTCCGGGGCTTAGAGGCTGGAGGCAGAGGCCAGGAATTTTGCAGCCACTGGGACGATGGAGGATGGCAGACCCGCAGAGCTCGCACTGTACTGATGGTGGGCTGAGGGCGAGCAGAGGGGCTTCCAGATGACAGCGGTGGAGGAGACAGGAGTGGGTGGGTGGTCGGGCATTTGTGAGCCTCCGGGCTCTCCAGGCTTAACTTGGGAACAGGAACGGGAGGGACAGAGGTCACCGACGGAGGAGGGAGGAAAGGGGGAAGGTCGGTAAACAAATCAATTAAGTCTCTTTCCACTCTTCCTTTACCCAGATCCATAGACAGCTCAACCTCAGCCATGGTGCAGGCGGCGGAGCTCCTCTCCATGCTCTCACTGTCCATGGTGCTCTCCCCCGTGGCGAGCTCTGTAGCCAACTCTTGCACCTGGTCTGACGTCACAGGCTCGGGCTCCGGGGCGATCCTCAGCACTGTCGCTCTCTCTGGTGATGGCTCGTCGGTCACCGCAGGCTCTGGCTCTCCTTCAGCGGTGGACTCGGGCTTAAGCGCCCTGCAGCGGGTTGATGGTGGGCTGGGATCTGGGTCTGGCTTTGTTCTGGATCGGGGGAAGACGCTCTCCAGGTTGACGGGGCGGTAGTAGTTGGCCCCGATCAAGAACAGGGAGTTCAGCACTGCAGCGTTGTCGAACGCCATTAAAACGGCGAGCTGGCTGAACTCCACAGCATACTCCAAGAGGGAAAGGTCCTTGCGGGAGAGGGAGGTAAACTTGACAGCGAGGTAATCCATGGGGAAGGAAACACTACGGAAACAAAAACACTGAATGGAAAATGGAAAAAAATCGGAGGGGAGACACATAAAAAAAACTGTTTTGGGTTGTGTCTTCTGTCACGATACACTGCCAGAAGGAATGAAGGAGCCGTGGATAAACAAAACTGTCATTTACTGAATCCAACACACAGGGTAAATCCACACTTGGAAGGGAAGGAAGACACAACTGTACACAACTGGTAGACCCGACAAAGGAGGAACGCACAGACAGGAACTTAAATACATGACTAAACGAGCAGCAGTCTGTCTGCCTCGTGAACAGAATGACTAATTAAGAGACAATGAGGACAGGAACAGGAACGGCAAAATAAGGGCACATGAGGGAGAAACTGGGTCACGGGGAGTACATGGGGAGCAAAACACAGAGACAGTCCAATTCTGACAATTTTAACGCACACATTCATACATTTTCCTATTATATTCATTTATTTTACACAGACATTTATACGTTTTGCTCTTGAACAAATATATTAAAAGTATAGGCTACATTTAATACTACACAAAATAAATGTATGTAAGAAGAAAATGCATGTATGTCTAAAGAAAATTGGCTATGTGTACGTAAGATAAGAATGTAGCCTATGTGTGAGAGAGAGCATAGTGGAAACGGAAGATTTATGATGGAAACGGAAGACAGGTTAGGTGCAATCAGGACAGGTCCTGAGGTCGATGAGGCGGCAAGCTGTTTTCTTTTTTTTATATAAATAAATAAAAAATATCATAAAAAAATATCATTTTGAAAAGGTTATATCTTTGTCCTTGTCCCTTGAGCTAGTTGTGATTGAAGGCACGGGAGCAGCCTCCACCGTGTTGCCAGATACACTTATTTCAGGGTTCCCACGGGTCCTTAAAAAGGCTTAAAAATTCTTAAATTTAGTTGTATCAAATTTAAGTCCATAAACTGTATAGTCATAAAGTCTTAAAAGGTATAATAAATTATTAATTATGATTTCAAGAGGTCTTAAATTTGGGGACGAAAAGACAGAATTGCGATATAGATTAATGTGACGATTAAACTTCAAAAGGCTGTGATTTTTTTGATTAAATATGATCGCTGCATGTTTCAAGGTCAGGTGCTGCGCTGCTTTGTATACAGCCAATACCGGGGAAACCGCTGTATTTCTGCCATTCCGAAAGCACAACCTTTTGGCAGAGAATGAATGTGCAGTTTCAATAACCCTGTATGCTGTTTTTGTTCAGACCAATGTGACAATCAACCAATGTTTTTACGCAGCAAACACACAGAGTAGAACTGGTGGATCGACAAGAAGACAATGGATTATAAAAATCTAAACAATTAACACAATAAAATATATGATTAGTCTATTTAAAAAACTGTTATCAATCAATTATTATATTAATTAAATAACATATAAACACATTTTACTGTCTTAATTGTATAGTTGTGTTAGGATGAGATGAGCAAGTATTGCATGTATTTCCTGGTTCGAGAGTGACTTCCTGCTTAAAGAGGAAGTAATAGATGCCAAAAAAAAAAAAGTTGAGACATGAACGTGACTATATATATATATATATATATATCAGTGGCGAGCGGGGACTTTTTTAACCGGGTATGCTGAGTGATTAGACCCCCCCCCCCATCAGTTTTTAGGACACTCAAAAGGGATCACAGATGACAAATCTGATGACAAACCCCATGGCAGGTGTCGATTTAAAAGTATGCACATTTCCTACCTTATTTGTAAATGAAATTCATCTCCAATCCTTCTTCTATCCTTCTTCTATCATTTCAGGTTTATCCATTGTTATTTGAAGGCAAGAAAAATAGAGCTGGTTTTCCAAGTAAAAACTGCCAAATAAGGTTTGGTGACTATGATTTCACCAAGTACAACATGTTCCTGGATCAACATCCTTGTTGATCCTGGAACAACATTTCAATGAACCAATCAGAATTGAGGGATAACTTTTTAGGAAATATCTGTTTTAGGCTTACGATCAGGGTTAGGTGCTTCTACACCCTTGTTAATCAGCTATCATTTCACACAGAATATAGGAATAAATTATGGGTATGGGTAGGTTTAGGGGTAGGGATTGGGTTTAGTCTATATTTTTGGACATTAATGTTGATCAAGGTCAACAAAAGATGTTGATCCAGGAACATGTCTTACTTGGCAAAATCACGGCGACCATAAGGTTTACACGTTGTTATGTTATGATAAGTAATCAGAGGGTGGGGAGATTCCCCCAATCTATATGTCTCTCTGCATCAGCTAAAATATTTTTTATTCACTGTGAATAGGAGTTAAAACTCCTACTAAGCGACATGAGCGTACGCAAAACAATGTTTGTTATTATTAAAATTTTATATAGCCCACGTTTTTATAAACATTTTTTTATTATTATTTACCGCTTAGGCATTGGCAATAATGTTGACAATAACGTATCTTCAATATACATTTGTCAGGGTTCTGCCCTGACACTCCATTTGTCTTGTATTTTGTTTCTTGTGTCTGTTGTCCTGTGTCAGCACATGGCCTAGTTTGTTTTTCTCAGCCATGTGCTTCTCTAGCCTCTCCTCCTTATTTCCTCTTTACCACACCCTCTTTTTAGCCTTGTTGGTCTAATTGTGCTCACCTGTTCCTCGTGTTTTCCTCCCTATTTATAGTGCCCCTTGCCCTACTGTCTTGG